TCAGATTTCTTGACTGCTGCTTCCATTGGTGTTGATTGTGGAACCAAGTAATTTGAAATCTTTGGCAACTTCAATCTTTTCTCCATTTATAATGATGCTGCTTATTGGTCTAGTTGTGAGGATTTTTGTTTTCTTTTTGTTGAGCTAGAATCCATATTGCAGACAAGTGTCTTTAATCTTCAACAGTAAGCACTTCAAGTCATCTTGACTTTCACCAAGCAAGTCATCTCAACCTTCCCAACCTTCCTTCCAAGGAGTGGCTGGTGAGTTTGAACCGCCAGCCTTCTGGTTAGCAGTCAAGTGCCTTAGGCACTATGCTACCAGAGCTCCTAAAGGTTACAGCCTAGAAAATCCTGTAGGGCAGTCCTACTCTGCCATGTGGGATCATTATGGGTCAGAATCAGCTGGACGGCACCTAGCACCAGTCCTCTGAAGTCGGTTCTCTTTTCATTATTACAGAGAACTGAAGGTCTCTTTCAGGCTTCCATAGCAGGTAAGTGGTAGAGCTGGGATTTGAACCAATCCAGTGTTCTTAATCACTGCACTATCCCCCTTCTCCAGTGATGAAAACACTCAAATGTTCCAGACTCCACATCTCTTGCCCCAGTTAGGCCTGAAGACCTCCCTCTGGCCGCCTACTGTGTGCTCTCCCTTCCCTTATTCAAGATTCACTGGAGTTTTGTTGTTGTTGTTGTTATGTGCCGTTGAGTCGGACCCGACTCATAGCGACCCCCTTCTTGGGTTTCCAAGGCAGTATCACTACGGAAGTAGATTGCCCCATCTTCCTTCCGGGGAGTGGCTGGTGGGTTTGAACCGCCAGCCTTCTGGTTAGCAGTCAAGTGCCTTAGCCACTATGCTACCAGAGCTCCCTTCACTGGAGTTTAGGGCTCCAAATATCCTCAACACTCACAGAGCATTATTTCTCTGTGATTATCTATGCACAGCTGGGAGCCAGGCCGCTTCTGATTTAGCCCTAGCTCCACAACTAACATCCTGGGTGATTCATTTGTTTATTCAACAAATATTTATCATGAAGCTACTATGTGACGGGCGATGGACCAGCTAACTGATCAGATGGTGGAACTAACCAGATACAGAGCTGGCAGGCTAGAGGAGAACCAGACACTAAAAAGGTCACCAAGCTACATGTGTTGTTGTGCAGTCAATTTCCACTCACAGTGCCTCTAGAGGACAGAGTGGAACTGCCCCATAGGGTTTCCAAGGCTGTCAGTCTTCATGGAAGCCGACTGTATCATCTGTCTTTTGCTGAGCAGCTGGTGTGTTTGAACAGCAGACCTTTTAGTTAGCAGTCGAGCGCTCTAACTACTGTACCATCAGGGCTCCTCTAAAAAAGTTAAGGAGTGTATACTCATGTCATGGAAACGTGCCTTGACGGAATGAATTGGCATAACTGGAGAAATCTACTATTGATAGGGGGAGTCAGGGAAGGCTTTTCTGAAGAGGTGACATTTAAGATAAGACTTGAAATACAAGTAAGCAGGCGACGTGTAAGGGGGAGGCCAGTCCAGGTTCCAAGCAGAGGGAATAGCATATGAAAAGGCCCTGAGGCAGGAAGCGGCTGAGTGTGGCCCAGGAGCTCAAGGGCCAGTGTGGCTAGAATCGAATGAGGGCATGAGCCCAGGAGCAAAGAGCAGAGGTCATGTCACGCAGCCCCTCACCAGCCAGCGCTGGGTCCTTTGAAACATAAGGCAGAGCCCGGAGGGGCTCATGGCCCCCTTGGCCTTCGTCCCTTGGGGATGGACTTCCCAAGCCTCCTGAAGGGGGAGGGTCCTGGGGTGTTCATTCAATGCTCCCAGAGGCTGGCAAAGTGGGTGCTTGATCAGTATCTGTGGAGCTCATGAAAGAAAGAAAGGGGGGTGGAGAGAAGGCAGCCAGGGGAGGCCAGGCCCCCAACCCTCCACTGACTGGCTGTGTGAACTTCTCCAACGCGCTCAAGCTCTCTGGGCCTCAGGTAAGAGGAGGGGCATACCGGAAAGGCCTCTACTTCCCCATTGACTGGGCCCAGATGTCAGGCCCCAGCCAAGCCTGCTCAGTAATCCAAAGTCCACTCCAGCCAGGCTGATCCTGGCTAAAAACAAGGTTGTTTTTTCCTTCCCTGCTGCCTCTGGGAAAACAAGCTGGCTGGGGAGGCCAGTGGGGTGACCTTTGCCCTGCCAGTCCCATCTGCCCCACCCCACCTTCCTGCCTGGGAGAGCTGATTCTGGGCTAGACAGGCCTGGGCAGGTACCTGAGTGGCACCTGGACGAGGGTTGGGGAGGGGTGAAGGCACTTCTTGCCTCGCTGAGCGGGACAAGCCTCTAGTGGGCCGTTTCAAGGTGGCAGCCACTCTCCCTTGCGAGAAACACACCTTGCTTGCCTCAGTGACTGCTTCTCTCCCTCTTCTCCATTGGCTATGAACCCTGGGGAGAGCGTAAGGAGCTCTGGACCCCAGCCTCAGTTTTCTCAGAGGGATCCAGATAGGGACAATGGGGTGTCCTGAGCACCAAGCCCCATCCTAAGCACCTATACAAGCATAATCCACCACAGTGGTTCTACGAGCGCTTGGCACTCTTACCAAGTTCGACAGATGAAGAAACTGATGCTCAGAGCAGAAGTGAAGTGTCCAACATCACACGTTCATGAGGTGGGGGCATTAAGACTGACACCTAGGACTGTCTGGCCTCGGATCCTGAGCACCTTCCATATGCTGTGTGGCCAACCCAATAGTAACCAGTACCCATCACAGAAATCATATTCAGAGGCACCTTTGGTTGTACCTGTCCTGCACTGAGCACTTTGCCCACCTTAATTCACATGGTTGATACTTTTCAACCACGAGAGGTCATTCTTAGTAAAAGCAAATATATCTTAGTATGCAATGATGGGTCTCTCCTCCTCATCCAGAACACAGAGGAATGAAGAAAACTAAAGATGCATGGAAACAATTAGTCCAAGAGACTGGTACACCATGTGATCCTCAGCCCATATAACTATGAGATCAGAAGAACTAGATGGTGCCCAACTACCACTGTCAACCACTCGGAGGGGTATCTATGTCAGAGATCCTGGATAGTGAGGGAGAACAATGTGGAACAAAACTCAAACTCATAAAAAAAAAAGGGGGGGGGGACCAGGTTTGCTGGTCTCATGGAGCCTGGTGGAACCCCTGAGACTATGGCCCCTGGCTACCTTCAGGTCTGGAATTGAATCCACTCCTGTGGCTTCCAGCCAAACAAAAGACAGGCATGTGAGCTGAACATTTACATTAGGTAGATACACTCCTTGAAGAGATCAATCATGGGAGAATAGAAAGGCTGTGTATGCACAGGGAGACAGCTCAGGGGGCAGGACTGCATGGGAGGGAAGGACACAGGGAAAAGGTAACTATGGGCAGGAAGTGGGAGTGGAGCTGCTGCATTGTGGGAGACTGCAGTCAATGTCACAAGACAAAGTGTATGTGAGCTGCTATTTGGAAAATGAAATTGCTCTGTAAACTTTCACCCAAATCACAATAAAAATTAAAAAAAAAAAAAAAGTTTCTTGGTGCCACAGGGTTTGCAAGAAACTGGGTGATATTTACTATGGATTTCCTAGGTGGTTGGGTGGGGTTCTGCCAGAGTTGAGGGACAAGCACCAAGTCCTTTCCTGGCTGCCAATCCCAGTCCCTTAGAAACTGCTTAGCAGTCTCATTGTGCCTGGCACCCTTCCCTTCCTACCCTCCACCTTCAGAGTATATTCCTGCCTCTGGAGGTAGCTCACCTCTCCTAGCCCCTTCAGGCCCTGTCCCCCATTATTCCCCCCACCAGCTAATGGGAGAACCTCTGATAGGGTTAGGGGGCCCAAGAAGGGCTCCCTGGAGACTACTACAGGCTGGGCCTGCCTATCTGGGATAGACAGTTCCTTATTAGGAGCTCTGGTAGCATAGTGCCTAAGGCACTTGACTGCTAACCAGAAGGCTGGCAGTTCAGACCCACCAGCCACTCCTCGGAAGGAAGGTTGGGCAATCTACTTCTGTAGTGATACTGCCTCGGCAACCCAAGGAGGGGTCGCTATGAGTCGGGGCTGACTCAACGGCACATAACAAGTTTCTCATTAAATCCAATTCCAATCCCCAGCCAAAGTTCAGCAGCAGGCCGGTAAGGGATCAGACTAATTGAAACCCTTTAATGACCTTTAGTGCACCACTATGGCCTGTGCCCATCAACACCTGTGGAAGCAGCAGTCAAGAAATGAACCAATGAATTACAGTGAGCAAATGTGCTGCAAAGTGCCTCTTTAAAGTGCTGAAGGGCAAAGATGTCACTTTGAAGACCAAGGTGCCACCTGACCCAAGCCATGGTATTTTCAACAGCCTCATATGGATGTCAGAGCTGAGCAATGAAAAAGGAAGACCAAAGAAGAATGGATGCATATGAATTGTGGTGTTGGCAATGAATAGTGAATGTACCATGGACTGTCAGAACAAATCTGTCTTTGAGGAAGTACAGATGGAATGCTCCTTAGGAGGGAGAATGGCCAGACTTTCTCTCTTGTACTTTGGTCACGTTGTCAGAAGGGACCAGTCCCTGGAGAAGGGTAGTGTGCTTGGTAGAGGTCAGCGAAAAAGGGGAAGACCCGTCAAGGAGATGGACTGATCTAGTGGCTTCGATAATGGGCTCAAGCGTAGCACTGGACCAGGCAGTGTTTCGTTTTGTTGTATGGTGGTGCTTTAAGTTGGAACTGACTCAACAGCACCTAACAACATGGCCTGTGCCGGCTTCTTTAGGGTAATTTCTACACTAGCAATTATACATCTGTTCTGGGGATTTTTAACAGAACCCTCCGAGGACTGCAACCAGGCCCAATTTTGTGCTCCGCTGTATGCCCCACCGAGCGTAGAACAAAACAGTTGCTCAATAAACCACCCTGGGACCAGCAAGCTTAAAGAACTAGGCTAAGGTAACTCTGCTGGGGGGAGCGGAGGCAGGCCGCGGGCCTGGCCTCACCCGACCGCCCAAAGTCTACCTGAGCTACCCTAGCCCCCGCGCGCAGCGATCCCTTACGTCAACCGGAAGCCGCATGTGCGGGGCTGTAAACACTGCCCGCAACGCCCTACCTCCTCGCAATCCGGCCCCGCCCCCGCCCGCCACGTGATACGCCCCCGCCCACCCAGACCGTGCCCGCCCTCGCCGCCGCCTCATTGGGCCACCAACTTTGTTTACCTTATATGGCCAGGTCCTAACACCCCGTGGCCGCCCATTGGCCGAGGCGCGGCCTCACTCAGCTGACGTCACCCGATGCCGTAGAATGCAAATAAACCGAGGCATTCTGGGACTGGGAGTTCGCAGGCGCCCCGGAACTGGCTCCGCGTGGTCCTGGCGCCCACATCTCTCAGGCCGAAATTTCCTCCAAGGCGCACGAGATTTTGCATGGGAAAGTGGGAGTCCTGTAACGGCGGAGAAAGGGATCCCGAGGCGTCCGAGGCTGCTGGCCTCACTAGCTTGCCCCAGGATCATCTGTCTCGATACGTTACTATTGTGGCCCTACTATGTGTCAGGCCAAGGGCCGCAAGTGACAATGTGCACTTGCACTCTGAGTACTGGAGAGACCTAGAACGCTTCCTGGAAAGGTGACTTCCAGCAAACCTTTGACGGGCAGGTTCATTCATTCATTCATTCACTCACTGGACGAGTTTAAACTGGCGGATCAAACCCACCCAGGGACTCTGGGAAGAAGACCTGGCTATTTGCCCTCCCTAGGTTACAGCCTAGAAACCCTGTGGGGCAGTTCTGTTGTCACGTGGGGTCTCTATGAGTTGAAACCAACGCCACCACACCTAATAACAGCCTGGAGGAGCCGGTGGCCTAGTACAGCTGATTTTTGCCCATATTCCTAGTACCCCTACCCCAGGGGAGCACCACTTTAACAGAGGGATGCCAACTACAGCAGGGTTCGGAATTCTGTAGTCTTGAAAAAGGCCTCTGTGCGTGGTCGCAGTTTGCACCCATTATCTGAGGCCTCTTGACCCGCAAAAGCGCGTGTCCTGTTTCTGCATTGGCCCCCTCCCCGGGCCTGGCCCACAGAAGGTGCACAGTATTGAGACGCAGTCTTCTTCACCGCTTGCCCAGGCGTCGAGCGACAACAGTCCCCTCGGGTCACACTGGGGGCCCAGGTCGGCCGCGTACCCAGCGTGGGCGCCGGCCGTCCTCGCCGCACCCACCACAGCCCCCATGCAAGCGCGCGCTGGCGGAAGCCGCCGACGGACTGCAACTCCCAGCATGCCCGGCGCCCCGCCTGCCGGCCGGGAGCGAGGCGAAGCTCGGTGAGTCACAGCCGCACAGTAAATATTTGTATTAGCCGGAGCCCCGCTCGCTAATGGTGGACGCGTGAGACCGAGCAGCAAGCGGCGCGGCGCCTTGTCCGTGAACATGGACGAGCTCAAGCACCAGGTTATGATCAACCAGTTCGTGCTGACGGCGGGCTGCGCGGCCGACCAGGCGAAGCAGCTGCTGCAGGCTGCCCACTGGCAGTTCGAGGTGCGGGCCGGCCGGGCCGGGGGC